TAGAAAAGGCCAAGGAACATGAGACATTATTGCTGATACATGCTAGATAATTGAGAAAGCCAAATAATACCCAAAAGAAATTACTATGTGCTTCGTAGAGAAAGGCCTTTGTGGCGATCATGTCAAGCTGGGTAATGTGCTCAGAAAAATTGAAAACCGAGAACATCTTGTCCTCATGAGAAACTTATATATAGGTCAGGAAGCCACAGTAGAGACAGAACATGGTGAAACTGAGTGGCTCTGGGTTGGCAAAGCAGTGTAACAAGGCTATATGCATGGTTTTAAAATTGGAGGAAGAAACATCAATAACCTGAGCTATGCTGATGACGCTACCCTGATAACCTGAAAATGCAAAGAATCTACAAGCTGTGGTAATAAAAGTCAAGGAGCATAGTGAAAAAATGGGTCTAAAATAAAATATAAAGAAGATCAAACAAACGACAACAGGTAGAACACCAGCCTTAGAATTGACAGTGAAGATATTGAAGTGGTGGATAGCTTCTGCCTTTTAAGATGGGGCATCAACAATAAAGGAACAAGCAGTCAAGAAATACACTGCAGACTAGCACTTGGTAAAGCAGCCATGAAAGCCTTGGAAAATATATTCAAATTCCATGATGTGTCTATACCTACAGAGATCAGAACTGCACAAGCCATGGTATTCCCTGTGACACTCTATGGAAGCAAAAGTTGGGCTTTAAAAAAGCAGGATAGGAAGTGTATTGATGGTTTTGAACACTGGAGCTGGAGAAGGCTCCTGACAATACCATGGACAGCCAAGAAAACAAACTAATGTATAATTGAACAAATCAACCCAGAGTTCTTCTTCGAGGCACAAATGACCACAGGTAATCCTCAGGTTACGACTACTCATTCAGCAACCATACAAAGTTACAACAGTGCTGAACGAGGAGGACTTACAACCAGTCCACGAAATTGCGGTCGTCACAGCATCCCCATGGTCACGTGATCACAATTCAGCTGCTTGGCAACTGGCTCGCAATTACAACAGTTGCCGCATTCACAGTCACATGATTGCCATTTGTGACCTTTCCTGCTGGCTTTCCACAAGCAAAGTCAACAGAACAAGTCCTTCCCCCTCCCACTGCTTTTTCACCACCAACTCCCCACACTCCATAGCGCCTGCCTGCTGCACTCCCACACAACTGTGCTTCATAGTGCCTGCCCGTGGCACCTGCCCACCCACTACACCCACACCTCCACCTGTGCTCCATAGCACCTCCCCGTGGCACCCACCCACTTGCCTGCTGTACCCGTGTACCCGCTCGTGCTTCATAGAGCCTATTCACAGCACCCACACACCCACACGCACCCCATAGCATCTGCCTGTGGCACTCGCCTGTAGCTCTCACCTGCAGCTTTCACCCACTGGCCTGCTTGCCTGGGACTCCCTCCTCTTCCTACGTCATGGTCACATGAGGTCCTCAGTTAATGATCCGCACAGTCCTGGGTTTATGACAGCAACTGGGACAGCTGGGATTGCCATTGCTAGTGATGCGGTCACATGACATCACATTTTACAACTGCGTCATTTAACGATGGAAATTCTGGTCCCAGTTGCTGCCGTAACTCAAACACTACCTTACTTCAGAAACATTACACAAAGATCTAGCTCTCTGGAGAAGGCTCTAATGCTGGGAAAGAAGAAGAGGATGACCAGCAGCAAGATGGATAGACTCGGTTACATGGCAATGGATGCACCATTGGAAGAGCTAAAGGATCAGGTTAGGGACAAATTGTCATGGAGAAAAACCACAACAAATAACCATAAAAGTGGACAGAGCTGAAAATTAAATGAATTAGATATTAATGTTTACCTTATAATCAATTTAATCATTTATTTCTTACATTTTAGCATTAATACATACATACATAGTGAAGCCCATCATATTTCTCTCAGCTGATTCCCAGGTTCAGTATGAGAGAAACAAATCCTTTATTCTCTCATACGTGCTCATGCAAATAGTCTCATATTCATATTTAGAGGAGAAGGGAAGAGAAGGCAGAGCAAAGAAGCAATCTTGGGTTTGCTGGTGGTCAACAACAGGATCTGCAGGAATGTTGGAGGCCACACCTAAGTTCCTGGTGGGTCGTATGTTTCTCTTGAGCCAAAGGAGAGGAACTTAGGTGCTAGATGATCTCATGATCTCATCAGTATAAGGCAGAAAAGTTGGATTAGATGCACAGTGACTTTTAGCTTGTAGACCTAGAAGCCATCTGGAAGCGTCCATAATCTTTTCGGCTGAGATAATGACAAAAGCTAAAACCCACGATAGGCATCAGCAAGAATGACATATGCATGGTGACATAATCACAGTTGTGTCATCATTCTGACATCATGGTGTTTTCTTACAGGCAATCTTTTACTCTTTCCAGGATCCCAGTTTTGTCCTTTACAATATTTTTGCGGGACGAAGAATTAAAAATCCAACCATATGTAAGATGAACACCTCAGTGCAGCTGAAATACTATTTGTTATTTGCACTACAATAAACACTTCCAAGATTTATTTCATTAAAATGCTATACTGTAATTTTAGGTCTGTATCAGAATAGATACAGAATAAAATGTGCAGCGCCAAGGGAGGCCTTTGTTAACTTTAGCCAGAACTAAAAAGGATCTATGGCAGCTAGTTAGCATGGTATGGAAAACTTGCACTGAGGAAACTTGAACTAGGGATCACAGGGCATTTGATTAAGGGTACTTTTCATGATAATCTGTTAGAAAGGAGGGGGGATTAGGAGCAAACACAGAGCAAAACTGAAATACGTAGGTGGTTTTGGAAAAGTCCATGTTGAGAGAGAGAGAGAAATCTGCAGGACAAGGGGGGCCTTGTTCACGTGACCTGTTTCCTTTTTCCTCAGAGAGAAAAAAGAGGAACTTTTAAAAAAATTTATTTGCTGCTCCAATACGTTACTCTTCCGCTTGAAACCATAGTAAAAATAACTGGAGAGCTTTTTTTGCCCCTTAAATCTGATACAGTGTAATCTTGGACATTTTGTGTTCCCACGAAAATGAAAGCCGCTGTTCTTCAAAAGGCCCCCAGAATGGGCTGCAGGATTAGACTTCTCAAACAGGCGGACAGAGATCCCCCACGAACTGGAAAGCCTCAGGATGTGTCCACGCGGTAAGATAAGAAAAAAAAAATTGCTCTCTAACTGCTCTTCTTATGTGAAAAGAGGCTTATCTGTGTCTCCTGGGATGGAAACTAGGAACAAATGTGAAGGCTGGATGAGTCAGTAACAAGAAGAGGTATCATCAGGGTCCCCTTAGCTAGAAGGGGACAGGGCATCCAAGGTTGCAATTTTATGCTGCCTTTTAAAAGACATAGCCTGGCATTCTCTGAAGCGCAAATTCTGATATACACTGACACAGGTTTGGGTTCAGTAACATTCTGGATTGATTGATTGATTGATTATGTGCTATCAAGTCGTTTTTGACTCTTAGCAACCACATAGATAGATTTTCTCCATGACGATCTATCCCTAATCTGGTCTTTCAATGGTGCATTCAATGCCATTGTAGTTGAGTCCATCCACCTTGCTGCAGGTCGTTCTCTTCTTCTCTTTCCTTCCACCTTTCCCAGTTTTAGAGCCTTCTCCAAAGAGCTGGGTCTTTACATAACGTGTCCAAAGTAGGATAAATTGAGCCTGGTCATTTGTGCCCTGAGTGAGAACTCTGGGTTGATTTATTCGATGATTCATTGGTTTGTTTTCTTGACTGTCCACAGTATTCTCAGGAGTCTTTTCCAACATCAAAGTTGAGCAGTTAGATAATCTTAGCTTCTGGACATAATGGTCTTAGAGGAGATGCCTCTTTAGATGATAATGTTTATTACTCAAATTACTTATTACTTCAAAATGTGAGCCAGATGTCCATCTCAAAGTCCTGCTCTGATGGCACTGCTGGTCTGGATGGGAGGCTATCAGGGGTCTCCATGTGCATAACTGAGTTTTGGTGGAAGAAAGGGAGGATATAATAATAGTTATCTGTTCAAGCATATTTAGTTTATTATTGTACTATAGTTTACCTTTAGGGAAGGAAAGAAGGACTTTCTATCATATGCAACAAAGAATCCTACAAAATAACCATCTGAATACTGTAAATGATTGGATGATAGAGGTATAGCCTTCTCATTTCCTTCTGAAAACAATAAAGATACGACTGAGCATCAGAAAAGGACTGGCTCAAGAACATTTGATCTACCTTCTACCTGTGTCCAGTGCTATAACCCAAGACTTTCCTAAGCTGCCTCAAATCAAAACTCCCAACATGCTTATCCTGGCTGGGGCTAATGAGATGTAGTCAGGGATATATTTTGATCAGCAGGTTGGGGAAGGCTGGACTAGCGTCCCCATTGTGGCTATTGTTGCTACCATCTCAGCCTTGGGTTACATCTTCCTTACATGGTTCCCTCTATTTTCCTAGCAGATTCTCAACTTCGCTTTGAGGTGTATGCAGTCTCAGCCTATTAATAGTTCAGTTATGGTTTTTGTTAGTAATAAACTTAAGGCTCAGTGTAACTGAAAAGATCTCAGTATGATAGTATCTCTGTAAAATGAAATTCCCCTCAAATGGATTTCCCCAGTATAAATTATGAGATGGCCATGTGACAAATCTGTAGACCAGATCTGGGGTAAACATATCATTCCTGAGATGCTGTAGCAGGAATTTTATGGGCAAAATTAACTCCCTTCCCAACACAGGGTACATTAGCTAACTTTAGATTATGGATTTACTGATTTACAGGAGGGGTTCCTACTTTTATGTTTTTTCCCCATCAATATACAGGTATGGTAAACATGTAACACAGAGGTTTAACTATCTGCAGAAAAAGAGGGGCCTTCATGTGGCCCATCCATGTGGATGTGCATCTATTTTCCCCACAATGGCATTGTCTGATATTGCCAGTATTTTATAAGTACATAGGTCTGGCTTAGATACACTAGCATCCAATACTATCTCAATTTTTTTTCTAGGTGCAGTTCTCCTCCTCCTCCAAATTCTTCTCAACTTTGACATCCTTCTTGCTGCCCCTTCAACTGGATTCCAAGAGGAGAAGGGATCTGGGCTTGAGAGCATCCCTCAAAAGCAGCTGAATCTGCAAAAAGAATTTAGCATCAGCTTAAAACTCTCACGGCAACTTCTCCACAAAACAAAGAACCTTACACAATGCTATGTAAGTCTACTACTCTTTCTTCTCAAAGACTGTAAGTGAGGAGACAGGTATTGGATGATAACCCAAGGAGAAGGCAACTCTTATTTTTAAATTAGTTCCTCCATTCTCTTTTCTGTGTCCAATTTATTAACCAATCATCAAACTTTTTAAGGCTACTGTAATACATTCTATTTGGGGCTGCCCTTAAAAACTACTTGGAAATTACAATTGGTCTAAAATGCTGCAGCCCATGTATTTTTTTTACTCCCATCATTGGGAGGATATAACACTGGTTTTGTGGACCTGCACCAGTTGCTTACCAGTTTCTGGGTACAATTTAAGATGTTGGTTTTAACCTATAAACTCCTTTATGGCTTGGCACCTGGGTATCTGTAGGACTGCCTACTCCAATGAGTATTGGCTCAGCCAATTAGATCAGAGAGTATATGTTATTGATCCCATATTTTGGGGAGATTCAGGAGACTGAAGCAAGAAGGTGGTGCTTTTCCATGGCAGCGCCAGTGCTGTGGAACAACCTCCCAGTAGAAATTAGGCCCCGTCCTCATCATAATGTTTTGGAAGCCTCTTAAAGAGGGGAATGTTTTGGGGAGCCTGCCTTTGATTTTATCATGCCATCTTTACTTTCTTTTGATTGTTCATAGTATCATGTTTGGGTGGTGGTGTTTTACTGTAAAACAAGCCTTGTTTTACTTGGATTTTGTTGTCTATGTAAGCTGCAGAGAGCCTTTGGATTGCAGCCAGACAGAAATGTGAAAAATAAATAGATAAATAAAAATATCAATCAATAAGTGTCAGTAAGGATGGGCTACTGGTTGTTTCTGTCATTTGTATGGCAGATAAAAACTGGTGATTTGAACTGAGGGAAGGCTGCATGCCCAGCGAAGAGGTTGGAATATTCAAAT